TTTTTATTACAAATAGAAAATCTAATGTGTACATTTTTGAGATGAATGAATTAGTGAATCAAGATGTGAAGTGCCTTACGGCAATTGATGAAAACCCTTGGATTTGGCATAAGGGGCTTGACATGCAAACATGGAATTGATATCCAAATTGTCCAAGAAGAATCTTGTTAAAGGGTTACCAAATTTGCATTTCATCAAAGATACCATATGCGAAGATTGTGCTAAAGGTAAACAAACTACGTCTACCTTCAAACCTATCAATGAGGTATCAACTTCTAAACCCTTGTAATTACTCCATCTAGATTTGTTTGGTCCTATGCGTGTTACCTCTCTTGGAGGCAAACACTATATTTTTGTTATCATTGATGATTTCTCTCATTTTACATGGACAATTTTTCTTACAAGCAAAGATGAATGTTTTGATGAATTCTCAAATCATATTAAAAGAATTAAAAATAAAAAAGATTTGAAAGTTGTTAAAATTAGAAGTGATCATGGTGGTGAGTTTCAGAATATTTCTTTTTATGATTTTTGTGCTCATCGTGGTATAACTCATGTGTTTTTAGCTCCTAGAGCACCACAACAAAATGGTGTTGTTGAACGAAAAAATCGAACCATACAAGAGATGGTACGAACTATGTTAAACTCTTTTGATTTGCCTAAATATTTTTGGGCGGAAGCCGTCAATACGGCTTGCCATGTTTTAAATCGTGTTTTGATTAGACCAAAGCTTAAGAAAACTCCATATGAACTATTTTATGGAAGAACTCGTTTTATTGGTTATTTTCGTATATTTGGTTATTAATGTTTTATTTTAAATACAAAAGATCACCATGACAAATTTGATTCAAAAATTTATGTTGGCATTTTCTTAGGGTATGCACCTCGAAGTAAGGCTTATAGGGTCTTCAACAAACGAACTCTTGTTGTTGAAGAATCTATAAACGTTACTTTTGATGAGACTAATATTGGTTCACAAGTTATTTTGCCTAGGAAAGATGATGATGATGTTGAGAGAGGATTGGAACTTTTGAAACTTAATAATACACCCTCAATAGAAGCACAAAAAGATGTGGAAAGCACCAACACTCATATTCAAGAAGAACTCCTAAAGCATGGAAATTCGCATCAAATCATCCAAAGGAGTAAATTATTGGGAGTCCCTCAAAAGGGGTTGTTACTCGCTCAAAGGCTTTGAGTGAGTGTGGTAATGTTGCATTTCTATCTCAATTAGAACCTAAGAAAGTTAATGATACTTTAAATGATGAATTTTGGATTTTAGCTATGCATGATGAACTAAATAATTTTCGAAGAAATGATGTTTGGAAATTAGTTCCTAGACCTAACAATGCTAGTGTTATTGGTACTAAATGGGTTTTTAGAAATAAGATTGATGAACATGGTATTGTTACTAGAAATAAAGCTCGTTTGGTTGCCCAAGGATACAATCAAGAGGAGGGCATAGACTATGATGAAACATTTACACCAGTTGTAAGGTTGGAATCTATTAGGATGTTTTTGGTATTTGCTAGCTTTAAGATTTTAAATTATTTTAAATGGATGTTAAAAGTACCTTTTTAAATAGTTTTATAGAAGAAAAAGTATATATTGTGCAACCCCCCGGTTTTATAGATCATGCTTTTCCTAATCATGTTTACCGGGTTCAAAAAGCTTTATATGGGTTGAAACAAGCTCCTAGAGCTTGGTATGCTCGCCTCTCTAGTTTTCTTGTTGAAAATGGTTTTTCAAAAGGATCTATTGATAACACACTTTTTGTGAGAAAAAGGAAAAATGATTTCATTTTAGTGCAAATATATGTTGATGATATCATTTTCGGTGCTACTAATGAATCTCTTTGCAAGGATTTTTCTAAAGCTATGCAAGATCATTTTGAAATGAGCATGATGGGAGAGCTCACATTCTTTCTCGGGCTCCAAGTCAAGCAAACTAAGGATGGGATATTTATTTCTCAAAGCAAGTATGCTAGAGAATTGGTGAAGAAATTCAATTTGGAGAATTCTAAGCATGCACCAACTCCAATGAGTACAAGTGTCAAGTTTGATGCGGATGATAGTGGTGAGGATGTAGACCAAAAACCATACCGAGGTATGATAGGTAGTCTTCTTTATCTCACCGCTAGTAGACCCGATATCATGTTTAGTGTGTGTGCATGTGCATGTTTTCAAGCTTCTCCTAAAGCATCTCATTTGATTGCCGTTAAGAGAATTATTAAATATGTGCATGGAGCTATTAATCTTGGTTTATTTTATCCTAAGAGCACCTCTTTTGACTTATATGGTTTTTGTGATACCGACTTTACCGGATGTAAGGTAGATCGCAAGAGTACGAGTGGAATATGCCAATTCTTAGGAAATTCTCTTGTTTCTTGGGCTTCCAAGAAACAAAATTATGTTGCATTGTCCACTACGGAAGCGGAATACATTACCGCTGGCTTATGTTGTGCCCAAGTTTTGTGGATGAAACAAAGCTTAGTTGATTATGATTTGATTTTTCAAAATATAAAAATCTTTTGTGATAACACTAGTGCTATCAATATTTTAAAAAATTCGGTTTTGCATTCTAGAACTAAGCATATTGATGTGCGTCGTCATTTCTTACGCGACCATATAGAGAGACAAGATGCATCCCTTGTGTTTGTTGACACAAAATCTCAATTAGCGGATATATTTACCAAGCCTCTTGGTGAAGATGATTTTTGTCACATAATAAATGGTTTGGGTTTATGCACTATGTGAAAGTTCTATTTTGCTTGCTTGTCTAGTTGCATTTCTCATGCATTTTTGTTTATTTTTTTACCCCATTTTGATGGTGACAAAGGGGGAGAGAAACCTCCTCATTTGTGCACATAGTAAGGGGGAACTCATAGATAGGGGGAGCTACTATTTATAAGCTATATTTATTTTGTTCTTATATAATGGTTGGTTGTCATCATCAAAAAGGGGGAGATTGTTAGCCCTTATGTTTTGATGATGTTTTGCAACTACCATTATCAGTACTAATGGCTTGTTGAGTGAAAATATAGTGAATACGTATATCAAGCTTGTTAGTGCCATAAATGAAGGATTGGATGGAATATGCGCTACAACGATAATATCCAAAGGAGGAGGAGGCATAGCGATGAAGCAACGTTCATTCAAGAACACTAAATGCAATAAGAAGCTTCATCCAACTCAAGCTATATTAAGACTCAAATAATTGTATTCTACATGAGGATATTAGCTAGTTTTTATTTTCTCTCTAGTACTAAAATGTAGGCAAATAGTTTAGATTTAAATTGAAGCTATTGGGATATCACACACACGGCTTCATACTTATAGTTTTGAGCGTTTATTCACTAAATACTGTTTTTCACAAGTATGAGGACCTATTAGCAAAATTTCTTTTCCAAACAATTTGTTTTTAGTGTTAAAAACATTTTACAAAGTTTTACAATTTTTGGAAGTCAAATGAATATTTTACAGATTTTTTAAGTGAGTCAAAAACAAGTATTTTGAATGTATCAGTCAGCGGTCGACCGCCACGGTCGACCGCGCCTGAGCTCATTCGTCAGTGGGCAGCAGAGATTTTCACGGTCAACCGCCGCGGTCGACCGTGAGCTCGAGATTTCCCACGATCGACCACTGCGGTTGACCGCAGAACTCTCTGGCATTTTTCTCAGTTTCTGATCTGGCTCGTGGTCGACCGTCGCTTGTTTTTTAAATGGTCTTTTGTACTTTTTCAGCGCCGATTGTACACAATCTCAGCGCCGTTTGTTTTCAGATTTTGGGGGATTAGGGTATGGGTTTAAACAGCTGGTTTCTCCTATTTAAACTCATATACTCCTTCTTCCTCATTGTCCTAAGTTTTTGAAAAACCAGAGTTTCAGTTTTACTGAGAGCCAAAATTTTCATAACCTGTTTTCTATGTTTTTCTCAAGTTCACATCCCAACTTCAGTTTAATCTTTCTCTTTTCCATAGGGACTTGTAAAGAGAGAGCTTTTACACCATTGCTACTGTTTGAGTGCTTGATCTTGTGAATATCAATTGTGTGGGAGTGTGATCCAGTGGAGATCAACTGTGTAGTTGTGAGATCGTGAGGAGATCGTTGTGTAGTAGAAGTTCCGGCTTTCAAACCGAGTTGTGTAGTGGATTTCTCCCCGAGAGTGGGGAGCGGGGACGTAGGTCAGTGGACCGAACCTCGTTAACACATTGCGCGTCACAAGGATAATGATTCCTTACTCTATCTCTTTTTCTACTGTTGTTCTTTAGTGATTTGTTACTTGTCTTAATTTTTATTGCATTTTTATTAGCCTTGTGACCCTAATCACCCCCCTCTAGGGTCTAACAAACTCCAGCCAAGACTCTGATGCCACAAACTCCGATGCATTGGGCGGTGGATTACAACATTGCGACTGGGCCATCTGATTTTGCTTCGTTGAATGATATTGATATCAAAGCTGGAAGGCCTAGTCCTTACATGGTATTATATTTCTGCTCCTGAGTAATTTAGCTTAGATTACATTGGTAAATGGTATAATAATATGTTTGATTTGTTACATACACAAAGCTTTTATGTTATGTTATCTCGTTGATGTTCTTGTTGGTGGATTATAAGAAGTATTATATGTCAAAACATAATTTTATGTAAATAAGATGGCTGATGGAATTGCTTTTTGGTGTCCATTGTACAGCTTATGATGAGGGTGGTGATGATTTGAATAGAGGAGCTTCTCATCGACCTTTGACTTAGGTGAATCTCTCTTTTTCAGCATTCAGACTTCAGTGTAATGTTTGCTTTCTAACTATCTTGTCAAAGTTATTTCATGGACCCTCTTGCAAGTTCGTCCTCTGTTTCCAACCAATAATTATATCTTAATTATGTATTTACACAACCTATAAAATGTATATCTAGTTCTGTCACTTATTTTCCTCTGTAATTGTCATTTTCCAAGAATGCAATTGTGTTTTGAATAGCCTGAACGCAAAGTTGATGCTCTACGTTATCTATCTACAGGACTTCTTCGTGACGTCCTCTGGAAAACGGAAATGGGACGATTACACTTCTCTAGCTGCTGGAGTTTATTTACTTAGATTAACTAAGGTTAGTAGTTGAACAATGTCTTTATTATGTCTTCCATAGGTCTTTTCTTTCTGATTTTTTGTATGAATGATTTGATGACTATATACTTTCAGTGGTAAACTTGAGCTTTCAGCTAAATGTTTTCAAGATCTGCTTCTGAAAGATCAAAACCATCTTGCTGCTCTGATCAACTATGCTGTTGTCATCTTATGCAAATATGGATCTGTTGTTCCAGGTATGACCCTAATATATGGAGTTAAATGCCATTGTAGTGTTAGTATTGTAAATTTGCTGAAATTTGATGTTTATAATATCATCATTTTTACCGTGGGTTCTCATGTCCTCATCTTAGAACAGTACAAGTTTATAACTTGTCCCTTTGCATTTCAATCACATTATATTTTTTTCTTAATTGTCTCATATTGCACTTCCTTTATATCCATTGAGAAATTAACTTACATTTGCTAAAGCTCCTTGTCTTTATGCAAACTTTTCTTTGCTGAAACATGTAAGATGTCCCATATTTTGTTTCTAGATTGACAAATATCTCTCTTTGGCTGCATTATCAGTTACTATCATAAACTGTAGATTTCTTATTGGTGTCATTTAAACAAATTCTATTCTTTCTGCATGTGAGAGCTATTTTGTCAATAACAGAATTAGTATTACCAAGTAATATAAAAACAGCAGTAGAAAGGATACTTGGGAAACCGGGATAGTTTTTACAAAATGATAATAGAGAGTAAACTGAGATAGTTTCTTCAAAATAACAATTGAGTATACACTGAAACATTCTAATCTTTTGTTCAACTTCCAGGTCCAGGAGCTAATGCAGGAGAAGGGGCTTATGTACAAAAAGTTGAAGCTGGAACTGTTGCTAAAGATTGCTTACTTGCAACGCTGAGAGCTGATCCTAAAGCTGGCCTATTATGGGTGAACCTTGCAAATGCATATCAAGTGGTCGGTGATTATAGGAATGCAAAGAAGTGCTTGGAGCAGGTATATGCTTTTCTTCTGTAAAGTTCCTTAATCCATGAACATTTTCTTAATGTTATTGGAGAAAACTGATAATTAGGTGTTGATATTTAATGTTATTAGTAATAAGTCCTGATAAGATTTTGATCCATCGTTCATAGCTCTGGTTACTTGGGTTCAAGAAACATGATGGAGCACCTTATTTTTTTCTCTGCATCTTTTCCACCTGCTAACTAAGTTGTATAAGATGTAGAACTTGGTCAACATCATGATAGTTATAGCATTTGTTTATTTGTGGGATATCTGACAAATGTTATATTCTTTCTCTTGTTATGCAATATAGTCCATTTGGTATCTATGCAATGGAAGGTTTATGCATAAAATTTATTCCTTAGGCTTGAATATCATGAGAGTTTGTTGTCCTGGTCCTTAGATTTTTGTTGCTACATTCTCATGTTTGTATAGGCAGCAAAGCTAGAGCCAAATCAAATGTCTGCTCGTTATGTTGTTGCCACTCATCGAATAAAAGATGCTAAAAGGTCTCAAGATTGTACAGAACAAAGGACGTGTTTTAGAAGAAAAGAGAAAGAACTAGATGCTTCAACAATGCTTAGATGAGCAGGAGTAACAACAACAAAGGATGTCTGAGTTGAAGTAGTTGAAGTCACAAGTGAAAGCTATGCAAGAATTTTTTTTTTTTTTAGGCAATCACCTTCATTGACTTCTCAAACTCAAGAACATGTGTAGGACTAGGTAATTTTTTTTGTAAAATCTCTTATATATTTTTATATTGACTAATTGCACTAAAAATGTGATTTTTTTACTTAATAAGATAATATTTGCTTAATTGATATTTCTTAATTATGTGACTTTTTTAAAAAATTTCAGGTTATCCATGCAAGATTAGGAGGAGGTAGCTTGAGTCTTCTTTTGACGATGATTAGAGATGAAAGAATGTGTCTTTCCCAAACTATTATTTTTCAGGCTATTCATGCAAGATTAGGAGAGGGTAGCTCGAGTCTTCTTTTGACGATGATTAAAGATGAAAGAATGTGTCTTTCCCAAACTATTATTTTAATTTGTTTTGGATAATTTCATGTATTTTTCTTTGGAACAATTAGGATATTAACTCTTGTTATTAGTATTGAATATTTGAGGATGGTGGAATTTTATTTATTGATGTTATTAATGAATGGAGTTTTTATTTTCCCTTTTATTTGGTGGAATTTTATTTATTGATGTTATTAATGAATGGAGTTTTTATTTTCCCTTTTATTCATTATTAGGTATTTTTAATATATTTGTGTTGTGAATCTTAGTGTGAGGTTGAGAATAATATGATAGTTGCCTATGAATGAAAAAAAAATATTATTAATGTATATTAGAAATTTATAGTCTACAATGACGGTTTTATAAATCGTATTTTGTTCATCAATGAAGGAAAAGCACAGTTGTTGATGGGTTACTAATTACCCATTATGAGGACTTTTACAACGGTATTCAACCGTTATTAATTAGTCTTCAACGAAGGGAAAATATCCCCGTAACTAATGGTAACGATGGGAAAATATTTTCATCATTGGTGGTAACGACGGGAAAATATCCCCGTCACTGATGGTAACGATGGTGATAATTACCGTCGTAAATATTAATGACAGTAATATGTTCCGTCGTTATATACTCTATAACGACGGGTAGTATATCCCTTCGTGACCCTTTAGCGAAGAGGGCTTCAACGACGGGTAACGAAGGGATTTTTCCCCATCGTTAGCATACAATAACGAAGGTTTTCAGCTCTTTAACGAAAGAAAATCCCTTCGTTAAAGATGTAATTTCTTGTAGTGCATCGAGGAAAGCATCCTATCGCCCCCAAGAATCCACGTTAAACTGTAGGCGTTAAAAATTATCTATAAGTTCCTGAACACAGATCGAGATGAAGAGAAGACAATTAATGTTGATATTTAAATCAAAGAGGATCATTTAACACCAAGATGAAGCGACGCAGCAACAATGAGATTTAGAATGCATGATTCAAGAAGAAAATGGATGCGTGAATATGAAGAACTGAAATTTAAACCATGATAAAATTCGAATCTAAAAAGTTTAAAAGATAAAAATTGTAGGTCTCTTCGTCAGCTTTCCAACGCAACTTGAATCACCTCATTCCGAGGTCGGATGAAAGAATTAAAGCTAAAATATAGAAGACTGTACAAATTATCTCGGATTCCGAGACAGTGTTTTGTGTCTCGGAATCCGAGACACAATAAGGTGTCTCGCAATGTGTAAGACACCCCAACCTATCTCGCACAGAATGAAGCACTGAGACTCGTTTTTGGTGGTTTTTTTATCAGTTTTGACGGGTCCAGTGGCCTCCTAACAACTTTTGGGTTATCCTTAAATGCGAGAAAATCGTTTCTAACTGAAGATAAGACCAAATCACGAGATCTTATCTACAAACATGGTGTTCAAGTCCTATAAATACCCCTCTTTGTGCAAATGTGAAGAGATGGACAAATACTAATGAAATCTGAGCTCTTAGGCGAGTTGCTGACGTTTTTCAGAGCAGAACCACGAATTTCAGAGAAAGAGAAGCGAGGTTTTTGGAGATTTTCTGAACATAAAGGGAGAATTTCGAGAGATCCATAGCTTTTCACACCTTCCCTTGAGATCAAACATTGTTTTGATCTTGAGAAGAGTAGTAATCTCACCTTGTTGAGGTTATTCACTTCTGTTCTAAGTTTCCTCGATTGAGATAAAGAATACTATGCATTCTTCATGATCAATTTGGATCTGTGATTCGATGGTCCACGGGCTAATGCGTCTCCGACACAGGCAAAGATCTCATGCAAGCAGCGACCGATAAACAGTCTCTGTGTGTGTTTCTAGGAGATCTCATTTGTTTGTTTTCATTTGTGTAAAGAAGTCTTATAAACATACTCACTTTTTGAATCTGTAATTCGATAAACGAGTTGTAATGGATTCCACAATAAAAAAGATTTCTGACGCAAGCATAAACAATGAGAGATTAGATTCATTCTCTTTGCTTCTGTGTAAAGTGGATTTCGATTTGTAACAAACAATTCAATTAATACAAACTTTGAGATCCATTTTACGACAAACATAAACTTCATACTTACATCAAAAATCTCAATTCAAGAATCATAGTGGTAGCACTCTAATGTATAAGCATTTCCTTTCATGATTTACAATATGTGAAAATTCCTAATGTAAGTACTTAATGAAGCACTTAATAAATGAATTTCCAATAAGTCATTTGAGGTCCAATTTTATTGTTCCATTAGATGAACACATGATAACCAAAGTGTCTGTACACAATAATATCATGTCTAAGAACTAAAGAGAAAAATTTTAGTATGATCACAAAGCATCAGAGTAAATAATGGCAAAATAAATAGTATCTCAGTTGATAAGGCCCAAATGCTCCACATGACAAAGAAAAACTAAAACTGGGAAACCCTTAGTCATGCGATCTACAACTATCAACTTGGTACTGATATGCTCAATAGCAACCTTACACTCCTTAACATGATCTCTGACAACGAGATACTTCGGGTGTGTTTGGTTCAATAGTGAGCTAGAATAGGAATAGGAATTGCATGTTTTTTTATAGATTCCTACCTAATCTATAAAAAAATTTAAGAAAAAATTTATGTTGTCATGGAATCTTTTTTTTCATTTCTATGTTTGTCTCATAACATGAAAAAATAGAATCCAACTTTATAAAACCCCTACAATTCGTATTCTTTAGTTTGGTTGGGAATAAGAAAATTTTGGGATAAATGGTGAGAACACCATAGGTATTCTTACCACTCACTAGTGGGCAAAATATTCAAGTAAGAAGTTTGGGTAATCTTACCCGTTTACCAAAATTTAAATTCAAAACCGAAATAACATTGTAGCAACGGCTAGTTTCAATGCCTTGGAGGCTATAAATGTGGATTGAGGACTCATGGTGTCAATGTATCCTTCAATTCTTACCACTTTTTTTTAAATTCTCATAGTTTGCAAGTTTCCTCCCCTCCTCCATCGATATGATATCAAAAGAATGACCTAAAAATTTTGAAGTTTGGTGCGATTGCAATCTCCAAACACCCATGAAAATGTGCAAGAATGGTAAAAATAAGGGGATGTATTATTGGGGGTGTGCGAAATACTCAAATAAAAAAAATTGAATGGACTCATGAAGGAGGAGAAATAAGCAACCAAGAAAACCAATTTGTCAAAGAAAATAAGTTCGGAGATAAGTATTTTTTGAAATCAAAGAGGTTGAAGTAAGAATTGAAACTTGTCGAAAAACAACTACTAGCTTGGAAAATTTCAACAATTTTAGTAGTGATGTTGTATTATTTTAATTATTGTAAATCGCGTGTCATGTAGCTTGTACTTCAAAAACTATTGATATTGTAATGAAAATTTTTATTGGGATTGAGTAAACTATCATTAAAAATATAGTTGATATTGTACGACTCAGGAATAGGTCATTTTGTCAAAATTAAATGCCCCACCTACAACTTACAGATTTATTGTAAATTGCATTTTAATGATGGATTGCCTGACCTAGACATTGTCATTTCAATGTAGGATGCAATCTCATCACATATTGTCTCATCTGATCATAATAAACGTTGTAAGTTAGATTGCATTCTCAGTAAACGCTAATTATCATTGTCAAATATCAACTATGGAGCATCACAAGCTCCAACAATTTATCAACCGATAGCAACAAAACCGATAGCAACAAAACCGCACAAAACGAGCAACACAAGCTCATGTATGAGCAACAAAATTGTTTACAACTTAGCAACAAAAACGCAGCATACACAGGCCAAACCCAACAGCAACAAAACCATACAAAACGAGCAACACAAAGTCGTGTATGAGCAACAAAACCACAACATACATATGCCAAACCCAACAGCAACATAACCACAAAAAACGAGCAACACAAGCTCGTGTACAAGCAACAAAACCGATGGCAACATAGCAACAAACTACAACATTCGCAGTTGTATTAGCACACATCTTCTTTAATTGTTGTTCATCTACGTTATCCATCTACATCCATTGCAAAATTAGCACACATTTAGAACTTAATATTTTCACTTATTCAAGATTAAAAATAATTAAAAAACTAATACATATATTGAAATCCTAAAACAAAATATAAATGAGATCCACAAATCTATTTTCATAATGAAATAACTAATTCATATATTACAATATTAAAACGAAATTAAAATAAAATTACTAATTCATATATTAAATAACCAATTTATAACCATCCATGATCAAATATGACAAATAACCGAAGTAACGAAGCTCTAAATTATCAAACATCCAAACAATATCAACCATGACAAATAATCATCCGTGATCATATA